ACATTAAAAGCTATTAGACAGGTTTAAAAAATTTGATTAGCACACACAGACAATTATGAAGCCAAAATTCTCCCAGATGCAACGTCATCAGACTCACCAACCTCCTCCCAATGGAACGAGAACATTTCCAACACAACTAAGTTAATCAAGTTTTTTCTTCTCAGTGGGGTTTCTGGACTCATGGGGGGGGGGGGTGTTTAGGTTTTGTGTGGTGTGGGTTTTTTTGTTGGTTTTTTTTCTTTTTTTGAAACAGTTTCACAGAAAATAACTATATCAAAATAATGGCAGAAAGCACTTTCATTTTTTCTCTTCAAATCCCCATGGACTATGTGGGGACCTCAAGTCAAAAACCTTCACTTTAGAACAATAAATAAATAAACTCGCTAAAGCCTTCCCAAGGCTGGCCAACTGTAGCATAAGTAATGCAAGAGGCTGAGAGATGCCAGATAAATTTGATTACTATAAAAGATGGGAATATGTTTCTTTCCTTGGAGAATTCACAAAAAGGGGTCAAAAACAAAGCAGCACTGAAAGCCAACAACTTCATTTCGCCGGCAACTCAAGGCGAAAATACAATACAATTCCATGGGAACGTTTTATCACATCGGTGCAGACACCTCCTAATCTTCTATTTCTGAAAGAGGAAAATAGCAAAGATAGAGTCCAGGCAAAATGGGGCTCTTCTTTCTTTTCTGGAAAAGGCACTCTGATTAGTATATCAATTTAGCAAAGAGTTCAAGAACTGTTTTCTTCTTCCACCTGCTACCAGTGTCACAGTGGCTCTAAAACATTTCAGTAGGGAAAAAAAAGTAATCTTACACTTCATGTTATTGTTCCTATTTGTCAGATTACCAAATCATTTATCTCAAATGCATTCAGGAGCATCATTAGGAGAAATGACCCATAGTCCTTTCCTTGTTAAAGAAAAACAAAGTCCTGACTCGGTGTTAATTGTTCCAGCCCTGAGTAATGATGGGATCTAGAGATCCCCCGTGCACTGTTCCCCAACAGACAGTCCTGATTTCACATTTTTCCTCTGTAAATAGATGAGCTCCTGCCAGTTACTGTTACAACAGCAAACCTCTCTGGAATTACTTTCCCTTTGCATGTCCGAGGGCTGCACTTGGCTTTTCCTCGAGCACATGGTGTTGGTGTCAGCCCGTGCCCCCTCCCCCGATCAGAAAACACTACACTTGCAGCAGCAGCAGCAGCAGCAGCAGCAGCAGAGCTGTTCTTACCAGCACCTTATTTTCATCACTCCTTCAAAGCCATCCAATTCTCCCTGTTTAACATCCCGAACTCTCTCTCCATTAAGAGCACGTCTCAGTACTGGGTCTTCAGCCCCATTTCAGTAAACCATGGGTGACATTTATAGAAGAGTTACAAATACGATGTGTAAAAAAAGGTTGAACTTTAAGGAACGAGTAACTTCCAGACAGCCTGATAAATACATTTTCAGCACACAAACACTCTTTTATTTGCACAACAGTTCTTATAAACAGTCTGCTGCAAACACTATTTTCCACGGGCTGACGGTGCCAGTGTCTCTGCAGGACTCAGGAAAGGATTGAGCTTGCAGCACTTTTTAATGAGAATTCTTTTTCAGAGATTAATATCCACACACAAATTTGGTCAAAAGCACTTCAGATTCAGTAGTAAATGCTTTTCAGTAACCAAGCAGAACCCTCTTTTGTGTCAAACAATTTTAGTAAAAAAGTAGTTGATTACCTGGTTAATTCATGCCATTGGTTCTTATTTTATCACAACTATCTCAACTATCACTGTATCCCTTATTCTCTTTTTTTCCAGAGTATATGCATTGTAACCATCCATTTCCAGTAAGGCAAAGTCTAATAATATTACAATATTATATAATAATATTATAATATTTAATCTTGTAATATTAAATAGTTGTACTAACACATTAAAAATATTACCTACAGTAGATGACCTTAAAGGCAACACCCTCATTTTCAACTTCAAGGCCAAAAGACAACTATAACCTGGAATGAAGAGCAGTTTCCTCAGAAGAACAAAACACCTTTTAGCACATTAACAAACACCTGAAACACTAATCAATACTTTTAAAAGAGTGATTTCTCTCTACAGATTTCAAAACATTTTAAGACAAAGAGTGAAACCAAGACAAAAAGACATTCAGTAATTTGACCCAAGACAACTTGAAAAATAGAGAATGAAAGAGAAAACCAGAAAGAAATGTTCTCTGGCTGCAGTCCTGGTTTATCCCACTGTACCACCAGGTTTACTGAGAAGCTGAGGTGACTGCGGTGGCTTCCGACTCATGTGAGGGCTCCCTGCAGGACTCTGGGAACAAGAACTCCTTCAGGGGATGACCCAAGGAGCTGGGGAAGAGGCAGGTCAGAGCAGAAGAGCGTTATCACACCGGGAGTTGTAAAGCACTGCACCAGGAAGGAGGGGAAAAGCTGGAGAGATGGAAGGAATCAAGCTCAGGAAGGAGCAGCTCTTGCTCCCCCATCACTAAACCACGAGCAGTGGCCACTTCTGCGAGTGCTCCCTCTGAGCCAAGGACAGAGCAGACACTGGAACCAGCTCCCAGGCACTGCCACACCCCAGCCAAACGTGGGCTGGGACACCATGGACACAGACTGTGATCCTGGGCTGGGAGACCTGGAGACAGCAGGGCACAAAGAGCTCGGGTAATGCTGGTCCAAGCCACCATGAGGGAATTTAGGGGTCTGTTCACTCCATTGCTTTTGCACTTCTGCCTTGGCAGGATGGCTCAGAAGCTGGGAAATTCCAGCAGATGGATCAGACAGGCAATTCAGAAGCCCCACATACTGAATGAAGGAAACAATATTGAGGAACTAAGAAAAGGGCAATACTGACTATCATGACAACAAACAAATCAGCTGCTGGCTTTAAAAGCCATCTATACACTGTTCTCTTATCATCTTTTTTCTTACTGAGCACTGAAAAGCTTGCTTGGATCAGCACAGCAGAGCTGGAAGGAAGTACATGCTTTTAGAAAGCAGAAACACAGCATGAAAATACTAAAAAAATAAAATAAATAATGAAGTAGGATTTATGAGTGTTCTCAATTTCTTCAGACACGATTTTCTCTTTTCTAAGAAATCTGATAGCACAATATAAAAATTATTTCCCTTCCATTATTGTTTTCCATAGTAATGTAAAAAAATCCTGACCACCAGCAATTTAAAAACACAACAGAATCCTATGATAAGAGACTTGGAGAATCATATATGCAAAGCACTATGCAGAAAGGGTGCTGAAAGGTGATTCCTGTACTTGAGAGATCCCTGCTAGGACATCTATAACTAAAATACAAAAGTCTTCCAGAGAGTCAGTAATCTGTGTACTTCAGTGGTGCAATTACTTGGTTTTTTTACACCAAGGAATAACTGAAAAAACAGCTGAAACTTGCTGAATGATGCTGCATAATTCTGTATATTTTACAGGTATGCAGTTAGCTATGCACACATTCCTTAAATAAACTTTCAGAACTACATTTTCAGACTGACACAGAAGTATTGGATTCGATTGCTAGGAAATGCAGATGTTCAACTAACCAGGATAATGTTTTCACTGAAATAATTTAATTTTTCCCCACAGGAGCCACATCATCAAATGCAAGAAAACAGTCTGGGTGACCAAGATGGAAAACTGGAGCATGTCCTGCCTCTGGAGTTCCTGCTCTGCGTCAACCATCCATCCCTGTACCACAAAGCCTGTACTCTTGGTTCTCTCTCACCTCCACTCCAGTTCCTAAAATCACTCTGCCTCTCAAACCATGGAACTCCTGAACTTGAATCCCATCATTCAGCCTTTAAAATTCTCACTTTAGAACGGTTCAAAGCATTCTCACCACCACCGTCACACCCACACAGTGTTCTGTAAAGTAAAGCTGCCCAGGGCTCAAAAACACACACAAACCCAGAAAACTGCCTTAGGATATTTATTGATGCAGCATCTTGAAAGATTTTTCTAATGAATTTTTGTTGCTGTGAAAGAGTTCAGTCTTTCACATACAGCAGAGGAGTTTTATAAAAAATTAAAAGTTGGCATTTCTGAAATAGTATTAGAAGAACTTGAGTAACCTGGTCTAGCAGAAGGTGTCCCTGTCCATGGCAGGGGGGTGGAATGAGATGGTTCTTAAGGTCCCTCTAACCCAACCATCCTGTGATTCTCTGAAATAGCCTCTTGCAGCAGCGATTTCACAGACATCAATGGCCCTGCTCGCCCTGTGCATCAGACAGGTATTTTTCATTTCATACATCATTTAAAACTTGCTGCAGTGATTCCACAAACCTGTCTACAAGCACCTTCTTCTTTCCCACCCCTGCTGCAATTCAAGTTATTTTGGCCGAAATTCAAGGCGCAAGCAAAGCACTGATGACAGAGGAGCAAAGCACACTTAGCACTGGATAATGCAGGAAAAAAATCTGATACTCTCAAATAATATTGCACCATGGTTCTGAATACACCAGAATAAAATTACACCAGCGACATCATCAGCAAACTTACCCTGGAAACAACACCTCACAGCAAGGAACCAGCATTAGCACACAGGTGTTTCAATATTTCTAAACACAGAGTTGCATTTATATCCTATTTTCAGAAATTTCTCTCCCAGGACAGTGTGAAAGTGTGGCACAAAGCTTGTCCTTGCAAAAACATGTTCAGACAGAGATCACCTTTGTATTCTGGGGCCATTCACACAGGCACATCACTGACTGCTGCAACTGCTGCGGATCAAACTGTAAAGATCTTATTTATTGCTACATTAATTATTGCTGGAATAGCCCCTAAATGCTCAAATAGAGAGCTAAGTTCTGAAAATACAGGATTCCTATCCTGTGAGCAAAGACTTCAACTCATAGTGCAGCCACAACTCACACACTTCCAGACTGAGAGCTGGAAAACCCACAGCTTCGACCTGAACCTCACTGAAATAATACTAAAAATTCAGCGAGGAAATCCAAAGCAAGAGGTTTACTCACCATTTATGAAGGACTTCTGGACAGCAGCATGTAACACAGGACACTCCCTTCCTGGGCATTAATTCAGTAATTCCCCTTCTCATTCAGGATAAATCCAGAAAGTAGCTGGCACAAAGAAGTGAAAACCACAGATTTAGCTGGGGCTGGATGTGAACAAACAGAATTTCTTCCTGTCCATATGACTAACAAAAAGTCTTCCCTAACTGCTGAGCCTCTATACTGATACAATCTTCTTTTCAGTCAACACCAAAACATTTCTGTATGTGTTGTGACCCCGAAAAACTTTGATTTTAGGTAAATTAAAGGACAAGGTACAATGATAACTTGGAAAATTCCTGTTATTTTTAACACATTGGACACAGGTAAGTATCAAAATGTGGCAAGTCATATGAATCAAATGGGTTTGAGTCATGAGAATACTTGTGAGTAGCACAGTACTGGAAAACAAGGAGGTTATAAAACCAAAGGCCACTCAATGACAGCTTCCAGAAAGCTTCCCAAATTACTTGTCCACATGCCATGGAACAACCAGCCACACAATGAAAGATTCTACGTGAAATAAATACAAATGGTTATCTAGTTCCATTTATGCAGCAAGTATGTGAATGTGCTTGTCTATGTTCACAGCTCAGGACCTGGAACACACCAGTCTCAGGCACAAGCCAGTGCCACCACAGGAACAGCAGCTGGAAACTCCAAGGGAACTCCATGTACTGACTAATGCTGGAATTAAAAGAGGTGAGGGACAGAAAACAGGAGACAGTTATTGCTGCAGATTCCTCTGTTAGAGGTTGCCCAGGTCCTCCTGCATCCACGAGCCAAAGGCTCTGCTCCCCACAACGTCCTGTGTCACAAAGTAGAGATCTGTAGCTCTAAACTGTTCCACCTCCATCGTGAACTTCTCAACTCACAAATCAATAGAATACTGAGCAATAATGAGCCAGAAATATTCTTGAACAAAAAAACTAAACCCACCTTTATTCAGAATTGTGAATCGTGCGGCTCACACATTTTCCAACATAAGTTCAGGAAATAAAAATCTCATTAAAGCTTTAGCCAAAATTTCTAATTCATCAAAGGGGCATGCTCTGAATACCAATGAATTTCATGAAAAAGAAGCGCTTTTTTTTCTTGTCTGCGTGTCTGTAAAATCTCTCTCAGGTTACAAAACCAAATCTGATGACACTGAAAAGTCTTTCAGGAACAAAGACAGATGAGTAAAACAACCACCAGATCTCTTTAATTCCATGCAAAAGTGTCAACAGCAAAATCACTGCATCTCTGCCACAGCAGAATATTAAATAGTTCATTAATATCCATTTTCCCTTCTTCTCTTTTCAGAGGCTACTAAAATTGTTTCTGTTTGATTTTACATGAGTGAAACTCCTCCCAAATGAAACAGGTACAAGGATCTTGAAAGAACACTCAAGTGCACATCACTCAAGCCCTTGGCAGGCCCTATCTCCGCGAAATAACAATAGCATCCCACCAATAACAATGACTTGCTTAACTATTCATTTTGGTAAATAATGGAACTGAAAATTATCTAGTGATGGATTTACACTTTTACAATGCATCTCAGGGATGAAAATGAATAGGGACGGAGAAATTATGTGTGTTACAATGGGTGACGCACAGAACTTCAGATCCTGCCTCGCTCCATGGAAGAGCATGAGCTGGAAAATGTGGCACTACAATTTTTAGCATTTTACCTTTGTCTGATTCTCCTGAGAGACATCCTATATGTATTATTTGTCTTACAGAAGCACTTAAAGATGCCAATTAAAACTCAAACACCGCTATATTAGTCAGATATTGTATGAAAATTACAATAGGTGTCATAGCCATTTTAATTCCAAACCACCACAATAAATTACCTGTTTCTCAGATATTCCTTCCTTTGTCTTGCAATCACCCACAGAGTTTAACATATTCGGGTTTATATTTGGGGGAGCAATAACAGAAGTGCCTGGGCAGTCCTTGCAGCCTTTTTTAATTTGGAAACCATATTAATATTTCCAGAGGAGGCACAGGGCCCAGAGAGCCAAAGCCTAAGGACACAAGGCTCGCTCTCCTACACCACTTTCCTTGAGTGGCCCATGAAGCCCCAAGACCATGTGGACCACGAAGTGAAAAGTCAGATTACTTGGAGGCAGGAAGCTGGCAAAGGTGACAACTTTTCTGGTAGCAATGGAAAACACTAAGCTTCTATTTCAAAAGTGAGAGATTGCTTTGTGTTTAAGTAACAAATGGTAAGTGTTTACCTGTGACTTTAGTTCTCTCATAGGGAGTTTATTATAAACAGTATTTCAAACACAGGACTTTAAGAGACAAAGTATAAATATTTTAAATGGTAAAATATAGGTGTTGGCTTTTTTTTGTACTGTGTCCAGAAAATTTGCACAAACACATCAAATTCTCCACCTAGGGAATTTACTTTATTGTTAAGTTTGCATTTAAAACAAATGTACATGACCTATTTTGGGGCTAATATAACTAAAAGGAACCTATTTGTTGTTTATTATTTATAGAAGATTCACTTCAGATTAGGCCTTTTGCAGACGTGTGTATCTGTGTGGCATCACAAAGCATCTCCAGATCTCCCCCAGCACTAAAACACACGAGGAAATGACAAGTTAGGATGTATCCAGTACACACAGTGTTTTATAAAAGCCAAGATTAAAAGCTGTTTTTTCCCTCCTCAGAAAGGCCACATGAAAGAGCCGCTACCCTGGGTAATGCATTGACCTTCTGGGGCTGATAATGACAAGTTCAAGTTCCTGGAGTTGGGGAAGATGTGGAACTAAAGTAAGTGCACTCAAGCAACGAGTCCTTCTGCTCTGTTAGAATCCCACTCACAAAACCAGACCCATAGAAAGAAAGAGGAAAACAGTTTAATTTTTTTTATATATAACCCGGGAGTTTTTCTACGCCATCAGCATGGCTCAAAACTGCTTTCTCAGAGGCTTCAATCTAAGGCACTGGTGGTTTCTTTCAATTTTAACAGAAAACTTGAAATTATTTCATATGAAAGGTGTCAAATCTATGAATACAGAGATGCAAAATTGCTGCTTGTGTCTAAAATTTTGCATTTTCAGCTTTTTTTCTCGTAAAGAGAGAAAGAGTAAAAAACATGCTAAAATGGTATCCACCGTGTAAGAGAGAAAACATTTCTTTCCAAATTTCTGGGAAATCAGAAATGCATTTTTATACAACAACTAAGAAAAACTAGGGTTGACCCAAAGCCTTCATTCCTATCAGTCATTAGTTCTGTACAGTTTTGCAAGTCATGGTGTCTGGAGCTCTTCAGGGGCAGAGTAAAGCTCCTTCAGGATGCTGCTGGCAGGACTGAGGCACAGAAAAGAAAGCTAAAAGGCTGAAGTAACCACATTACTAATACTACTAATAGTACATATTAGGATGTACTACTACTACTACATACATATGACTGTGTGGTAGCACATTTTGCGTTTTCAAATATTTATATTTCAAATTACACAGTGATATCATAACCTTTACATCTTTGTTTAAGTTAGAGAAGACAAAAAAATAAAGGCTAAAAAAAAAAAGCTCCAACTCCAGTTGGTGTAAATCAACATGTAGATCATCAGGTTTTAATCATCAGCTCATACCCAATGGTTTACACTGAAAGATTCTTGCCAGGACAGGCTGTGATCACAAAGGGAATAAAATAATTCAAAAAAAAAATTCCCTTTTAAGTTTGGCTCTAGAACAGTATTTCTAATTTCCTTCTCCTTGCCCCCAATGTGAGCTCATCTCAGAAACAATAATTTATTTAGGAATTAATCTGGGGCATCTCCAAAGTCCTGGGTTATTCCACTCCAGTCAATTTTTGTAGATTTCTGCTTTTCCTTAGAAAACACAGTGATATTAAATACAAAACCCCACACATTCAACGAACACTAACATTTCTAAAACCAGAGCTTGAGCTGAAGTTAAGAAATTGCTATAATTAAACTTGTCCAGGAAGACAGATTAAGGTCAAATATGTCTATTAATTTTGGGTATCCACTCTAAGCCACCTAAGACTTGATTTTTTTTCTTCGAAGCACAGCATTTCACAGCATTTAATACGTTCCTAGAATGGTTTTCACGGCAGTGATTTTTCACCCCCGCTCACAGGCTGTGCCCAGACAGTGGGAGCAGCTCAGCACCAGGGCTCAGTGACCTGCCCAGCACCGCCTGCAGCCGGTGGCACAGGCAGGAAAAATCCTGGGTTCTGGAGAGGCATTTACGTGATTCATCATGGAGCACACGCTCCTCTTCCTCAGCACTATCTCAGTCCCAGCCTCTCCCACTCACACGGGAGCCCTCACAGCAGTGAACGCCCCCTTTGCTACACCAAACACCCCTGTGGCTCTGTCCCTGCACACCCTGGGGCTCTGCTGTTCCCCCTGTTCTCCATGAGGATGGACCTGCCTTCCCACGGCCCCCAGAGACACCCAGCACCAGGACTGCTCCTCGTGCTCCTTTGTCCCCAACCTTCCTGAGGGCTCTGACAGAGCCAGGCTGGTCCCCCTCGGAGCCGGGGCCCAGGTAGAGCCCACAATGGCACAGATTCACCTGTCCCACGTTCATGTGCTCTTAATTAACGTCATGGTTGGGGCTGAGGGGACAAAAGTAGCTGGAAAGTGCCATCAGAATGGCCTCATGTGGTGGTGGGAGTCATGGGAGTTAAAATACAAATCATAGAATCCCAGATTGTTTGGGTTGGAAGGGACCTTAAAGCTCATCTCATTCCACCCCCTGCCACGGGCAGGGACACCTTCCACTGTCCCACGCTGCTCCAAGCCCTGTCGAACCTGACCTTGGACACTTCCAAGGGATGGGGCGGCCACAGTTTCTCTGGGCAACCTGTGCCAGGGGGGCCCCACCACCCTCACAGGGAAGCATTTCTTCCCCAATATCTTATCTAAACCTACTCTCAGTTTAAAGCAATTTCCCCTCATCCTGTCACTTCAGCCCCTTGTAAGCAGTGGCAGCAGGTAAAAAATAAAATGTAAAAAGTACAGTTGTAAATAGTAAAGTGAAGGGCAACAGCGTCTGGCTGAGGTGCCCAGGGAAGGGAAGCACAAACTGACACA